CGTCCCCGGCCCCGCGCGCCGCCCGCCGCCGCCCGGCTGCCCGCCTCCGCGCCGCTCTTCATGCTGGACCTCTACCACGCCATGGCCAGCTATGACGACGACGGCGGCGGGCGCCCGGAGCGGGACCTCAGCCGCGCCGACCTGGTCATGAGCTTCGTCAACATGGGTGAGTGTGGGCCGCCGGGGGTGGGTGTGAGGGCCCCTGCGGTGACCATGCGAACTCCGCGTGTCCCCGTGCCCCTCACGGTGCCCCCTGGGGTGAGTGGAGTGGGGGCCGAATGTGACGGTGGGCTGCAGGGGCGACTGTGCACAACCTCGAGCAGGATCAGCCGCCTGGCTGTGAGCCCGGAGTGGGTATCGGGTGCGCAAAGAGCCACTAGTCTGTGGACACGGAACGCACAGGCGAGTGTGAAGTGCCTCGTCAGGAAGCAAGGTCAAAGCTGTGAACGGGCACGTGCACAGGGGGACAGTGAACTCCCAGGGGCCGTGCATTCACCATGCCAGCACACCCAAGAGTAAGGCTCATGTCATGTCCAGGCGGACCTGGGCAGTGCCGGGAAGACAGTCTGGTCCTGGGGAGACAGATGAGTAAACAGGCTGTGATGCTTTCACTGTGATAAGGGCAGTACTGAAGACAGGGACAGAGTTCAGCCTGAAACCACTAGTCACATCAGAGTGGTGAGGACCCAGATGTCCTGGGTCCACCGTGGGCTCTTCCCCTGTGCCAGAGCCACAAAGAGGCAGGTAGGGGCTGTCAGGGTGGGTGAGGGGTAGACTCAGCTCTGTGGGCAGGGACTGTGGTCTTGTCACCCTGGGCCCCAGTACCTGGGAAGTGGCCTGCCATGGAGTGAGTGTCCAGGCCTGTGGAATGACCCAGTTTGCTGCCTGGACCCTCTTTGTTCTCCCAGGCAAGTCTAGCTTCTCCTCTCTGCAGAAATTTTACTCCAAACTGTGGAACTATTTACTCTTAAAGGTCTCAAAGATGTATTTTTCCATCACTAAGCTCACTTTAATCTATGGTGATGTGTACTTGCCTTGAATTAGATCCCTCATCCACTTTGCCTCCTGTCTGTGGCTAGTGACCAGCACAGGTTGGGACTAGGGTAGAGACCAGGTTGGGTCTGCCAACCCAATGACTACAGCTCAGCCAGAGAAATGGAGAGCCCGGGAGTCGAGAGCAGGGAGAGTCCCCTTGCCATAACCGCCAGCCTCCCCTACAGCATCACTGTTAAATCCAGCAATCCTGTTAATAAGCCATGATATTTACCCCCATCTCCCCGATGAGAACAATGAGGCTCAGAGAGGCAGTGTCACACCTGGGGTAGTAAAGCCTCTACACGCCCGACCCAGGACTTAGCCCAGGTTGTCTGGGTCTACATCCAGTGCTCAAGGAGGTAAAAATTCTGTTGTCAAGAGGGCAGGCTTTTCAGGGTGTGTAAAAAAAAAGAAAAGAAAAGGGACATGGGGGCAGAGTCTAACCTTCTCCAACTTTAGGAGGGGGAAGAAGAATCAAGATCAACAGTCCAAGGATGATTCCTATGAGGTGGGGTCAGACATGCCTCCTCTCTCCACCATTTACTAATTCTGACACCAACCATCCCTCCCACAGCACTCTACTGGATTCAATAATTCATTGCAATGGCCACACAGAACTCACAGACCATACTTAACAGTTATAGGGTTTATTAGGGAATTGACAGTTACAGTTCACGCTCAGGAACACTCAAGATACGGTTCTTCCATCAGGATAGCCTCTCCCCAGCTGTGCTCACAGACACGCCTCTCCCTAGCCCTCAGTCTGTGCCCAAAGGCACTCAGCTTTCTCTCTCTGTGGGCCGGGCCACTGCGCTGTCTCCTGCTGCCAGGTCTCTGCTGCTGGGTCTCACCTGCTAGTCTCTCCTTCCTTGGTGGTGGTGGGCTCCTTCTCTCTGTTCTGGAATTGGCTCTCTTTTAAGGCAAAACTGAGCAATCCCCTTGGTGGGCCACAGTTATCTTATTTGCACAGCGCCACCCAAACACCTGGGTAGGAGTATAAGACCTGGGCGATAAAGGCCATTCTAAGTAATTCATCACACTGCAGGAGAAAGCTTTCAGAGTAGGTTGGGCAGAGGAACATGCTGCAGAGTAGCAGCAGGCTTTGTGGGGTCCTCAGCCATTTGCTTCCGCTTGTAGTGTAGGAGGAGGGGAGACCCAAGGAGGACCCAAGATGGGCTGCCATGGTGAGATGCAGCCATTAAACCAGTGCTGAGAGCCCATTGCCAGGCACAGGACCCCAGCTGGTGGGCTCTGGATGCTGCCTTCCCGGTGCAAACTTAGAGCCCTGCTGGCAGGGCTGGGGACTCAGGGCAGATGGGAGAGGAGACCATATGTGGAACCAAGGCAGGAGTTCTGTCCTCAGGACAGGCTAAACCAAGGATCAGGACCAAGAAGAGCTGAGGATGGAGTGGCCCCAGGAATGCCTCTGGGGAGCCATCCGTCAGAATGAGTTATCTCCCAGCTCGCTTCCTGCTTCCCCCTAGCCTCCCCTGGGTTGAGTGCATCCAGTCCTGGTGGAAACTGTTGCTGTGAATTAAGCTGGGCCTGAGCCTAGGCAGACCTGGTTCCCCTCCTGCTTCTGCTGTGTGATCTTAAGCAAATCCCTTGCCTCTCTGAGCATGAGGTCCCTCCTTGTAAAACAGGGCTGCTAGTGATTCATGCCTCAGGGTTGTTGTGTGATTGGTTGATAGAGGGGTAGATCTGGTTGCTGCTGACCTCATCCCTCCCACCTACTGTCACATCCTTGGTGTGGATGTGATGTGAACCTGCCCACGTGTTGTGTACACATGTGAAACCCAGAAACAGATTTTAAAAGCCAACCAAAAGGTGTTGGTACCTATTTTTAGAATAAAAACTAGCATTTGAACTTTCAGTCTTATAATTCCTCATCAATCCATGTAACAACATGTGAAACTGATTTGCCAGCCCCATTTCCTGGGTGAGGAGATGAGGCCCAGAGGTTAAATGGCCTGCCCAGGGCCACCCAGCACATCCAGGGCATCATCCAGGGCTGTGGATTCCAAATCCTAGGTCTTCCCACGCTATCTCTGTGTGTCTCATTAAGATCCGATGCCTCCGACGCTGTGAGATTAACAACAGATCTTTATTCAGTGGAAGCCTAGCCTGTGGGCGGGCACGGCCAGCTGTCAGAGGGCCTTCTTTATTCTGAAGTACTAATCGCACTAGTAGAACTCTTTGAGTTAGAGTAGTTTAACTGGTAGCTATCTAGGGGGTGTGTGAGGGATTAGACACATACCAGGAAATTTTCCATGTTTAGAGGGCCAGGCCCCAGGGTCCTGAAGGTCGGTAGCCTGAGAACCACCATGGAGCCTAATAGCAGAGTCACTGCGGCATCAGCGCCTGTGGCATCAGCGCCCACATCCAGGCTTCCACACCTGTGGCCCGCAGCTCCACCTCTCCTGTTGGCCTCTCTGGCTCCTGAGAAGCTAGGCCTGGTGCTGGCCAGTCCCCTGACCACTGATGCCAGCCTTTAGGGCCCGGAGGCCCTGAAGCTTCTCACAGGCTTTCCACTATGGGGCAGGCCATCTGTGTCTGAGCAGATGCTTTAGGAAGACTATGTCGTAGTTTTTCCAGGGACTGAGTTGGGAGGCGGGCTACAGTCAGAGCGGGCAGCCCTGCCTGGCTTGTCTGTCAGTTGACCTCAGCCTTGTAGACTCTTGGCTCCTTTGGTCAGGACATAGATGCAACCTGTCCCTGGCCTCACCTGTGCTCACGGAGAGGAGGGCCCTGAACTGGGAGGCAAGAACCAGGTTCTTGTAACACCTGGGTCTGCCACCATTTTCCTACATGTCCTTAGCCAAGTGCTTTTCTTCCTTGGGCCTCTGCTTTCTAGTCTAGTCTACAATGACAGTGTCAGAAAAACAAGGTACCTCCCAGCCCTGACCCTGTGGTTTTCACCAACACCACATCCTTTCTATTAGAGCTCAAGTTTGACTGGCTGGACCACCCAGGGCAGAGGGAGTAGGCATGAAAGACCAACTTTGATTGTCCTTCTGAACCCTTTTCCATCCTGTGTCAGCCAAGTGTCAGTTGTCCATGTTCCAGATTGAGAAACTGAGGTGCTAACAGCAGTAGCAGGCAGATGTCTAGCCAGGAACAGAACAGAGCCATCTTTACTTTTTTTCTGACCCTTCCCTGAACCAGGCTAGTTTGTCCCTGTGATCTTGGGTGGCCAAGGACAGGGTAGTTGATGAGCTTTTGAATTGAGGTTGTTGGATTTGGGAGAAGCAGGGCTGAATGGGAGTTAGGGACCTGGCTAGGGTCTTCTCTGCCCATATAAACTGAACCTTAAAGAAGTGATGCTTTACCTCTAGAGCCCCAGGGTCAGTTTCATTGATTCTTTTCTAGGAAATTCTTTAATTTTTTTTTTTTCATTCAACAAACAGGGAATACCTGCTATGTGCCAGTCACAGTTGTAGTTGCTGGGGATATAGCAGTGAACTAAACAAAGCTCCTGCCTTCATGGAGCTGACCTTCAGGTGGGCGAGACAAATGATAAATACATAAACCATAAAGCTTATTATAACTTGTTAGGTTGTGCTAGATAGTGACACCCCCAATCTGGAAACCAGAAGGGGCCGAACAATGGGAGGGCAGATAGGCCTGGGTCAGGGGTTTCTGACCTAGGACTCAGACAGGCACAATATGCATCCTGACTTCTCCTACCTACTCCCAGAGTGATCATGGGCTTTCTAGTCCACTTCTAGGAGCCTCAGTTATCTCCTACTAAAATGGGAATAATATGGTAGCCACCCTATGGAGCTGTTCAGAAATTGTATGAGATGATGCCCAGTGATGACCACATGCCCAGAACCTCCATGTCTGTTCCTTCATTTGCATCTCACAGGTACTGTCACAACTTCATTTTTAAAAGAGGAGAGTGAGGCTCGCAGAAATTAAGTGATTTTTCCCAAGGTCACACAGCATGTAGTCTCCGCACTTCCACATCCTGTGCTCTTCCCCTGCACAGCAGTTGCCTCTCTACCCAGCCTAGGGCCAGGCACATCGTTAGATGCAGTAAGTGCTGGAAAATTGGACTGAATGTAAAAGTATGTCATAAACCGAGAATCCTTTTTGAAATATTTTTATTATTCTGGAATTTGCAGAAAT